TCGGTCTGGGCAGTTTTGAGATTTGACTTCACGTTGTTCGACTGGGCTTTCTACCCCCCCCCCCCGTGCGCTGGCGCCCGCCGCCGCCCCCCCCTTGGCTGGGCGACAAGTGGCCGCTTGTTGGGCCGCTTTTCAACTCGTTTTTTTTTGAAGACCCCTTGCTTTGTACGGCAAGCGCCTACGGTAAGGAACCGCAGGCGGGAAGTGGACTCTCTCGTCCGGATTCTCTCGTCACCGCTGTTGGGATGGGGTTTGGGGACATCAGACGCTGAAAACGTCAAGCGGGTATTCAAAGTTGATTGGGTTTGTAGTCTCTGTGAATTGATGTCAATTCACAGAGAGACTACGAATCCATCTCGCAAAGCATTGCCACAGTAAAGGTTACCCTTGATACTTGCCAAATGTTATTGCCAAGGGCATGTAAATTTACGTTAAAGAAATGGCGTCCACCCTGCACTTGATAAACTTTCGAACTGTAAGAGGCAAGTACGTGTACGAGAGAAGGGAGATGTACAGTAGGCGAGTTGACGGAGGGAGGGAACGGAGGGAGGGAACGACATACTGTACCTGTATGGAGGGAGGGAACGAGTGCGGTGGGAGTTGGGAAGTCCCAAGTACCGGTGTAGCATACAGCACGACACGGTACAGATACGGAATCTCCCGAGTCTGCCCGCCGCGACCACGCTGTCCCGGCACGTGAGCTCGCCTGCACCCTCTGCCCCGCGCGCTGCCCCGCCCGTGCGCCCTTTTGTAAACGCTGTAAACTTTCGTAAACGCTGTAAAGTTTTGTCGGCGCTGTAAAGTTTTGTAATCGCTGTAACCTTGTGTAAACGCTGTAAAGTTTTGTAGGCGCTGTAAAGTTTTGTAAACGCTGTAAAGTTTTGCAAGCGCTGTCCGCTGTACAGCGGAGCTGCCCTGTACGGCAGCGCTGGACGCTACTACCCTTGGTACTGTACCCAACAGTTGTGAAGTTACGCTGGACGGGACGGGCTGACGTTGCAACGAGTGAGATAGGTGATTGTCGGCGAGATCAGAAGGCACAATGCCCGCAAGTTGCTGGTTCCTTTGTTTAATTCGGTGCCCCTTTCTTCCTAGCCCATGTTCTCGTATGTCTATCTTTTATGCCGCTCGTGCTAATCGCTTTTCCGCGTCAATTTCGTTTATGCGCGCTGTGTCGCGTTCGCAAGCAGTCAGTGCCATTGCGTCTGTTCGCAAGAAAGGTTCGGCAAGAAAGGTTCGGCGCCCTATCCGTTCTAGCTTTGTGCATTTGTGCGTCCGCTTTATGCTGCGTTCCATTTACGTAGCGTGCGACCCTTGGCGTTCGTGGCATTGCTTACGAGGGCTCGACATTTCATTAAAAGGGCGTTGGCCTCTTGCATTCGTGGCGTTACAACCCGGGAGGGCGCGAGGTCACAGAGCGGCCGTCGCCGCCGACTTAATAGAGCACCGGGGTGCCAACCGTAGTTCAGTATCCTTAGTATCCTTCCCTTATCATACCTCAACCATCGCCACATCGACACTCGCTCTTTTTTCTGTTCGAAAAATTGACGGTATTTTTCGAATGCAGCTGGTTGAGGTTCCAGTATCCGTAGTAACCGGGTCGAGCATAGCGCCTTAGCGCGACACTCTTTAGAGCACGAACGACAATAACACATAGCACAAAACACGCCGCAGACCCCGCTTGTTCTCTCTGACTTCAACATATGCACAACCATCTTGCTCTGCCTGCCTCCCAAAAGGTGCCGGTGTCTCGATCGCATCCTTGTTTTTGACTTTTCCTCCAGACCAAACCTTGTCCACTGCAAGCCTCTAACAGCCTAAAAGCGCGCATTTTGTCGGCAGCCACGCGGGCTGCAAACACGCCTACTCTGCTTCCCCACCTCCAGCCCCAAGCTATTGCCGTGGGGCTACACCTGCCGCGCAGGTCGGAGGATCCAGGGACTTGTTTTCAGCATTCCCATTTTTGCCTTCTTCTTGCTCGAGTACCCCAACTTCAGCAATCTCATCCTTGAGAAAAACCAGCGTAGCTTGTCCACGCGTTAGGGGAGGACTGCTACGAACTGCACTTGTGATGGGGCGGTGAGCGGCAGCGTCAGCCGTACATCGCCACATCATTAACATTCTTATTTTTGAACTCACCCTCCAACGTGATACGAATAAACAACAATCCCAAAAACGACGACGGCGAACACATTTCGCGACAGAACTACACGGGTCGTTACCACATGGGTCGTTACCCAATGCGGCTCTGCTGCTTGCCTACTCTTCGACCCCTCCTCCGGTCCCGAACTTTCGTCGTGGGACCATACCCAAAGCGGGTTGCAGGCACGAGATATTGCGTTTTCGGCGGTCGCAGGTTTTGCCATCTTCCCTTTTGCGTCTTGACGAACATCCAAACCTCGATCTTGAGAAAAGCCCAGCGGAGCTCACATTCGGCATCTTGCGGATGACACTACGAACTGCAATTGTGACGGAGCAGTGAGTGACAGCGTCGGCCGTATACTAATGACTTAGTCAAGTGCGGCTGCGTCCCTCATAGAAATCATACCCAAAGCCGCCTTTGTCTTCGACTCATCAAGAGTGCGCCATCTGTCGGCCTTTGCCTCGCACTTATGCCGTAAGTAACTTCCCCTCCGGGGTACCCTTTCTCGGCCTAGACTGGAAAATGCTCTCCTTGTAGACTGCAATCGCTGATCTAGGCGTCTCAGTTCCTCTCCGTCTCGCCGGGAGGATTTCTGCCGCTTCGTCGACCGCAACGTGAGTACTAGTAACCGCCCGCTTTTTATTCTCATCACTCATATCCCCCAATTCTTGGTTAGGTTTCACGACTGATGGAGCGCGTCCCAGTAGTAACAACCCTTTCTCGGCGTCGATATCATGACAGTACCGACTTGTGGTACATTGGTAGGTAGTCTCCAGATGACATTGCATGTCTCCTGTTTGCATGATCAAAGTTTCTGGTGCTGAAGCCGGGATCTTTCCACAGTTGAATCTGGTGAGGTTGGACATTGCTAAGATCCTCCGAGTCTGATCGATTGTGATTGCTCTGATGCTAGCCGGTACGTTCCGCGAGGTTACACTAAAGTAGAGGTGGGCCCAAGACGAGACAACTACCATGGCGGTGAATAACCCCAGGCCCAAGAAGAACAGCGGACTCAGAGTGGCAACCTCTCTCGTCTCAGATCGGAGATAGCCGTTGGCGGAGCCCAAGTCACTGCTTAGCCAGAGGACCGGAGTTCTGGTTTGATCGGAGTCATGCTGCCAGGACTCCTTCACCGCCCACGCCCTTCCAACATTGACCGTTGACAGTTGAAGAGCTCTGAACGCGGATACCGCCTCCATCCGGTAACGCCACCGACGCTTGCGACATAACCTTGGGCTGAAATCGCCAAAGTGACACAATTGCCTCACGCAGATTGTGATTGAATCATTCGCCCAGTTGAAGTCAAAAGAGAATTGTCTGCGGGTGATTTCTACGCCCCTATCTCTACGTATTATAAGAGAGTTTTGACGCCCTGGCACAGCCTCGCTACGACTCGCTTCAACCGACCTGATCTCGCCCGCTTCTTCTTCTTCGATTTTTTCTCCGTAGTCCACCACAACTTCGGAAGTTTCCAGCTCACTGACGGCGCCCACTATCCAGTTCTGCCTCCGCCATTCCACTCGGGGGGGTTCACCGCCGTCACGAAGGCATTGGATATTTAATGTCGCTGGCACATTGGACAATGTAGTACAAGGGGCTAAAATCTCGGGTTCAGATGGCTCCCTTAAGACGAATTGGACTTCCTGAGCGGCGGCGAGATTGATACCCCCTATTGTGGAGTCACTCAACAGTACTTCCAGCGGGCACCCTTCGTTCCCAAGGTTGTCTTTGCCTGCAAGCGTGAACAATTTATCTCGTGCCCAGATCCACATAAATCCTGCCGCACAGATAGCATTAGCGTTCGACCCTGTGACGATCGGATACTTACCTACCGTGATTCTGAGCCACTTGGCCTTCTCCTCACTCGGAAGGTGGAAATCTTCCAGCTCATGATCTCCGGAATTTCCCCGCAGCACGTCCGCTTCCGATAGCGTGAGGTTAAGAGCCTGAATGTCGCTCCATTGTCTTTCCCTGACCGAATAAGTTTGCGGAAGGCTGCCGTAGGGTACGCTGATAGGCCGTGCGTCCTCCGAAGGGACATATGAGAACTTGAGCCGAATCCCGGGGTCCAGATTCTCGTATCCCACATCTCTGGCAATTCCCTTCCCAATTTGAGTCGAACCCGACCCGAACTCCATCGCTATCTCCGCAATGAGCAAAGTTATGATGGACAGATTGACTATAGCCCTAAGGCGCTTATCAGACGCATCGGACTCAGTTACCAGTGAGCTCTTGATGTGGTGTCTTGGGACTAGCTTGACAGGTATTCCTGCCCGCATCCTTGCCCCAGCTCGTAGCGCTGAAGTTTTCGTCATTAGCCATGTCAAGATAGATGTGGCACAGAGACTGATTCCTACGAAACGGATCACATTCCAAACCGAGACGTCTAACGTCGTCGTGAAAGTGTTCCCGAGATTCATGTCTGTTGAAAGCGGTGGAGGTTGCTCCCAGGGGGATGAAGGCCGCCTGCCGGCTTGAAGGCGCCGTAAGGGTGGGGTGTCCCTCTTATACCCCTTCTACCCCACTCAACAACGCTCGTTCACCCCTGCAGTTTCCCGTATTGCGCCTGCCCGCGCATTGCTAATTGCTTGTGCGTGGGTGGAGGGCGGTGTTGGACGAAACTAATGACTCTGTCGATGTGGCGATGGTTGAGGTATGATAAGGGAAGGATACTAAGGATACTGAACTACGGTTGGCACCCCGGTGCTCTATTAAGTCGGCGGCGACGGCCGCTCTGTGACTGTCAATCTGGCCCCGAGACAAACAAAGAGAGTTAGAGCAACCCCACCGCGCACATCTATTTGATCAATAGAATTTCTGCTCACGATTTTCAACCCCACCGCGCAATTCTATCGCTTTCCGAAATCGAATAGAACCATTTCGGAATCTATCCGAGCGCCGATAGATTCCAAAAACGTTCTATCCGATGAATAGATTCCCCGATAGAATGACACGTGCCAAGCGTGTCTACCAAATTCCAGCCAAATGTGCCTCCTACTTGCGAGAAGGCGAGCCGAAACTCCTCGGCAGGCGTGTCGCGCGCTTCATTCAGGCATGCAATAGTGCGCCAACACCATGGCACGCGGCTATGGTACTCATAAATCAGCCTTTCATGTCCTCTAGTAGCGTGGGAGAGGCACATCATCAACAACCACCTGTCACAGTATACTACGAATAGCGAAGCGCGCGAACTCGATCATGCCGTCCCAACCGAGAACCTCCGCGCTGCTTCGTCGCTGCAGCATGCACTTCGGCGACGCGTGACCCGTGCATGCTCGCGACAATGATTTCATCATCCCCATAGCTGTCGTCTGTGTACTGAAGGACGGTTCTGAGGACTTCTATCGGGTTCATTGGCGATGATGCCGTGTGGGAGCGCGTAGTTGGACAGTACCGGAGGGAGGGCGCGCGGCGAACAGGGACAGAGGGCACAGGCTGCGGAAGACAGACATGCAGCTGTGCGGGATTCACGGCGAGGGGTGGGCGTCTCGATGAACGATCGCCTCTTCGCAGACGATGTGTGACGTCTCGCCGCTGTCCGCACGAGCATTCAGCGATAGAGTTGCAAATATGCGTTGGGGTTGACGCGAATAGAATCCACACGGATAGATTGACGATTCGCCACAAAAATCTATTCGTGCAACCGGCGAATAGTCAGCGTACACGTTTCATTTCTATCCGGCAATAGAATCGACCCGGTGGGGTTGCTCTTAGAGAAAGATGAAGTTTACTCGGGCTACCAGACCGCGCTCACCCTTGTAGATCCCGGCTAACGCCGAGACCACGTAGTGGTCATTAGTTTCGTCCGACACCGCCCTCCTTCGTCACACCCATTAGGCCCTGCCGCTTCTGTGGCGGCAGGGGCCGCCAGCGCCGGAGCCTCGGCCGCACGCCGAGGGGCGAGCAAAGTAGAGAACGACTTTGCTATATTCCGACAACCCGGGAGGGCGCGAGGTCACAGAGCGGCCGTCGCCGCCGACTTAATAGAGCACCGGGGTGCCAACCGTAGTTCAGTATCCTTAGTATCCTTCCCTTATCATACCTCAACCATCGCCACATCGACAGCTTGAGAGGGCGCGGCATTTGCATTAAAGGGCGCGGCATTTGCACCAAAGGGCGCGTGCTGTAACTATTGTGAACATAAATCGGGTTTTTTCCGTTACACTTGCCCTCACTCCACAAAGTTATCCACAAAATAAGATCAACAACTCCATTCTTCTCCGAATAAAAGCCATTCCGGTTCTGCGCTCTTCACATTGCTTGTTTACGGGCAACAAAAAGCACATTAGGGACATGCATAGCCGCTTCGAACCAGCAATAAACCCATGAAAACAAGTCCATTTGCCGATCATTACAAAAATCGGTCATTTAATCTATCATATCTTGGGCACCGTGGCCCAGCACAGAGTCATTAAGGTGAGCAAAGAGGGCCCCTCTGAAAGGTGGAAAGGTCCCTCATTGCGTATCGAGAAACGACAAGAGGGGAATGGTAGCTGTTGGATGGATTTATCAGGGAACTCTTTTACTTTGGAGACTAATTTGACGTCTACTTGTCATAAGAGTTGGTCGGTGCACATCCTGCGCTGAAAAAGGCGGGCTTGTATTGCGATAAGAGCGTTTTGGTTTCGATGGCGGGATCGTTTTGTTACGTCTGTTCCCGCGAAGCAAGTGAGAGGAGGTACTAACCAGTCTGAAAGTTGGTAAAATTTAAGAAACCGAATTAACTTCAGAAACCGGTTTATGTATACCATGGTTACATACTGATATAATCAAGAAGCGCGTGGTTCGTGTGAGCCCTAATTGGCTATCTCTTATTGAAGCCTCTGACAACAGTACTGTACCAAGGGTACTGTTGTACACGGCAGCACCGCACGCGCGTGCACCACTCCCGCCGCCCGCTACGCCCTTCTGTAAACGCTGTAAACCCCCGTAAAAGGCGCCCCCGCCGTACGGCAGCGCTACTCCGTCCGGGCAGCGGTACCCTCGGTACAGTATGTACAAGTACAGTACCAACGGTACCACACGGCAGCACTGCATCCGCACGCACCGCGCCCGCCGCCCGTGCGAAGCGCGCCACGCGCGTCGCCGCGCCCCCGCGCCGCGAGAGAGAGGGGACGCTCGGCGCGTCACGCGGATTTCGGTGTTCGTTCAGCGGCGATACACAGGGCGCCAGATAGGACAATGCCAATAAGGCGCTATTTACTCAGTAGGAAATAAAGGCGCCGTCGCCTCCGCCACGATCTGTGGTCGGAGGCATCGGACCACTTGTTGGCATCACAGATACACTGTCTTGCCGGCCCCGCGTGCATGTCGTCACGGCATGCCGCGCTGCCCCAACGTCGCTCGCATGCACGGCCTACACCCGCGATTTCGGGTTATTTTTTCATTTTCGCTTTTTGCCTGTTTTTTTTTCATGCAGAAACTGAGAAACTTGATGATTCTTCATGAAGAAAGGACTTGGACTTTAGAGTCTAAAGTAGGCCCTACACGGCCGTACCCTAAGGTTACACTGCCACTGCACTGCGCCCGCGGGAGTGTACTTTACAGTACGCGCCGCAGTCTTGTGCGCGGCTTTGCTGCCGCGGAACGCTTCGCCGCACGGACTGCGCCGGCGATCGCCGCGTGCTTGCGGCGCCCGGAGGAGGGGGCGTGCGGCAGTCATGCACGAGTTGTTGCACGAGAGTGTGCTCGGTCGGTCGTGGAAGGACGTGGAAGGAAAGGGGCGCGCGGCGTAGGAGTGGTGTAAACTTGTTATAAAAAGGGAATGCCGTTTCCCTCGGCGTGCCGTTTCCCTCGGCGATCGCCTTGTCGCTGCTTGTCGCTGCTTGTCGCTGGTGCCAAGATACTGTAGGCATATCATAAGGCCTTTTGGCCATGAGGTGGCGACAGCCATTTCGTCCAATAAGAACGCTCCGGACCGCCGCCGTCCATACTTGGACGGCTGCCATTGGGCGACGAATGTAGTCGGACCAAAAGGGAGAATTTCGTATGATTAATTAGTAACCTACACTCGACGGCGGCGCGGCATCGCGCCCACCAGTCTCGGACTGGATGACATAACTTGTGTTGTGTGACCGGGGGCAGCTCGCCTCCTCACACCGGAGAGGGACACACTCTCGATCACGTTTATTGCTCACCTCGTTCCTCGTTCCGCTGGTTGTAAACGCTCTCGTATTGCATACACCAACTTTACATCACCCCTCCCTCCGCCGCTCCCGTGCGCACAACCAGCGTAACATTACCTTCTCCCCCCCGTCCCCGCCGTCGCGGACGCACCCCCCACAGCCCTGTGCATATCGCGTATGATAAAAAACTTTATTTACAACCAGGGAGAACGCGCCACAGCCCCGCAGCCGCGGCGCGCATCTGCCG